ATATATATATATATATATATATATATATAGTGTGTAAGATGTACAACTTGACCAAGATTTCATAGCTCACGAGGTTATTTTGGTGTCCAGCAGGTGGCGTAATGAAGCTGTTTATAATTATACTCCTCTGTCTTGTATTAAAACTTTTAACACAAGTATAACTCTGCTGGGGGGTAAGGCTGGTAGTTGCATTAGTAACATACAAGATCGTTTTTTCTATGATCATACATTTAAAATTGCATAATTTTGGTAAAATATCACTTTCAACCTTACCAGAGACAAAATATGGGGAGAAGGCCACATGATAACATGCCTCAGCTACACTAAATGACTCTTTATGATGAGCAGTCCTTAGTGGACACTTTTACAGGTCTAGTACATAGGTGCATTTTATGTTTGGTGTGTATTAGAAGTGAGACTTGCTGACAACGTAAACATCATTTGAAGCAGTTGTCTTCATTATTTCCAGTGATTTCTCAATATTCCATCATTACTGAGATTGCTGGACCTGCTTAAACTAATAAAACTGTCTGGATCCTGTTGTGTGTGTTTCAAAGCACCACTGCTCAATGCTGATTTGTTGGAAGAAGGTCATAAAGTTTACATAGCTTAGTCATTTAATGGAGGTTTCATTTGCATTACGAATCCTTACAGTTAGACCAGATTCCCATTGCACAAACACACTCCTCTGATTTTTTTTGTCCTCCAAAACTCTCAACAGCCCAAAAAGCAGTGTGTTTGCCAAATGCTGCTTCTCCCAGGGATTTGTTCCTATTGTACTACTTATTTCCTGACAGTATCAGTGTCATTATTTATGAAAACCACCCTAACATTGGGTTTCCATGTCCCAAGGTCCTCCGGCCTTTTCCAGTCTGGTCTATACAGTCTCATATGAGTGGGTGGATTTTGATAGTGTGGCTGTAGTCATCTAATAAAGTCTGGCATTACAATAGAGTTAACGTGGGAGTCTCAATGAAAATAGCAGTGTGTGTGTGTGTGTGTGTGTGTGTGTGTGTGTGTGTGTGTGTGTGTGACTGAGGTCAGAGGAGTGGACCCACCCACCTTTTCCTCAAGAACAGTCACAGGAAAGGCAAGGGTGGAAGGCATATACTCATGTGTACATAGTACTTACACACACATGGCATTTATGCATTCATGCTCATATTACGGTAGGTCTGTTGATAAATAAAATTTATGAGCAGCAGAACTAATATCTAAAATTAATCAAAATCTTTCAACAGGTGAAATAAGCTAGAAAATGACATTTTGTCATTCTAATTGCTAAAGAAAGGTTGATGCTTAGCAAGGTTATGGGCAGCCCTTTTGAAAGCGGAAGGGTGGTGTATAAAAGAGGAAGCTTTAGGGTGTGTTCGTGATCAGAGCCAAAGCACTTCCTGGTTCAGTGTGCAGCACGACTAGCTTAGTCGGGGGTTGTTCACTTCCTCTCCACTCACTTGGTTGCTTCCTGTCTGACCAAGAATGCAATGTGTGGTCTGGAGTGTTTATACATAGCCTGGCCAGAATATTCTGAAGTGGCTCAGCTGATAGTTATGAATGGATACTCCAACTTACAGTCAATTATGGAACAGAGAACATGTGTGTCTCTGTCAGTAAAAAATAGGAAAGATAAAAAGTAGTTCTGTTGGCCCCTCAACTTGGTGAGAGATTGGCCCTAGTGGATTAGGGAGGCAAATGCCATTGGTAATGTGGTCCAGACTCAGTCAAATTAAATTTGAGAAAAACAGAAAAATATGGATTCATAGAAAGTTTTCTTGTTAAAGAGGAATGGATAGAGGGAGAGTATTTGTGAGCACATTTAAGCAATTCTGCCTACCACCATTCAACTACCACATGAGCTCCACTAAAATGTACTAATTTCACAAAAGTATTGGTAACAGGAATTTTATATTTTGCTTAAGGTGTAGTATGCTTTTTGTATGCCAGCCCTAGAAGGTCTGTTTGGGAGATCACTGTATTATAAATAACGACAACCAGAAACATTTCATTTCTGATATGCACAATTTTATTTGAGTATTTGACTTACAATGTTACCCTAGTGACAAATAAATGTACTAAAATGTATTTGAAATGCATATATTTTGTGCTACGTATGCTACAAATACATTTACATATTTATTAGGTTCATAAAAATACCCTGCAATTGTACGTTTGGTATACTAAACTGGTATACTTAAAGTCTGCTAAACAGGAACAACTCATTTTGTACTTAATGTACTTTATTTGTGCAGATGCTGAAGTCCAACTAAAGATATACTGAAGTATATTTGATTGTGCTAAAGTGGAACTATTGCAAGTATACTTTAGGTACACATTAAATATCCTGCATTTAAAAACCGATGTTATTCAAAGATCATACAACCCTCATCAATAGTGAGATTAAAACTCATTTTAGGCTTAAGAAGAAATGTGCATTTTGCACAGGTAATCCCAGTAAAGTGAATCAGGGGAGGAACAGGAAACTAATCAAATAAGGGCATGGGAAGGCACATGGGGAGCAGGACACACACAAACACATGGAACAGAGTCTGACAAAAACGACAGCATAATGCACCCCGTGTCGTGACCATGGAATAGTGAATAGTTAGAATAGTGGCCTTGAGTGTGCATTCAAGAACATTTACAATTAGAAGGTCAGACTAATGGAATACAGATGAGCTGGATTCATATGAAGTTTTTTAGTATATTGTACAATTTTAAACTGGCCGAGATCGTTCCAATTTATGAACGTTTTTTAAAGAGTGAAAGGGAGTACAGCAAGAAATGAAACAGAGAGTGAAGAGAAGACAGAAAGGAAAGAAAAAGGACTGAGCTGGAAGAGTAGCTGAGGAAGAAGAAAGAGTTGGATGCAGGGGGTGGGCAGGAGGAAAAGAGGGGGAACAGGAGAAGGGGGGTCGGATGACTTAATCAGTGCACGCTGCCACTCCAAAAAC